GCTCTATTACAAGAAAGCATCTCAGGGAGAGAAATGTGGAAAACTCTGAATAACGACCTTACTTTGACAGATTCACATATGGCAGATCTTGCACGACTATTAGCATAGGAGAAGTCACCCACTTTCTTTCTTTAAGGGCAGTTTTTAGTTTAAAGCTAAGAATAGATGAAGAGCACAAAGAATGAAGTCTGGGGTATGCCAATGAAAACAGGCATTCCTGTGGGGACAGCCCCATTAAAAAAAAAAAAATCAAAACCAAGAGACCTGTATGACAGGTTAGATAGAATATTACAAATCTCACTCCTCAAACAACTGCTTGGAAGCGAGACTGTAATTGCTTTGACCAAAAAAATCAGTTTTGTGTTTTAGTTTTGACCATTTTCCAAATAGAGTAGATGATACATTTCTCAAAACACCATGAGAGTTGCTCTCAGCATGAAAAACATGAATTTTCCATATGAAAGACAAAAATTAAGCTGCCAGTTCATACTTTTCTCTGATTTTTCTTTGCTGAGAAATGAATAATATTTGCTTTAATATAGAAAAATACATCAGTCTGCATTGAAGAAAGTGGGCAAAATTAACAAGATTGGAAACTACCCACATAAGATAAAACCATACAGTAATTTAGATTGAAAGGGACCTCTGGAAGTCATCTGGAAGTCACCCCTTTTCACAACAGGACCAAATTAAAAGCTACATTAGGTTGCCCAGGGTTCATTAATAAGCACACAGACACTCACTGCTTGAATGACAGAGTAAAAATTGAGTAGCTCAGTACTTAATTCAGCTTAACTAGAAGAAAGGAGGATGAATGGAATTTGGCTATCTCACTCATTTAACAAGAAGGAAAAGTAGGGAATAACTATAGTAAAAGCTGTAGAAAAATTGGAGTAAGAGTGATATTGAATTGAGGTTTGACTCAAATATGACCTGAATCTACTCTGAAATCCCTGAAGAATATGAAGGATAGTAAAAGCTAACTGCAGTACAAACTTATAAATCAACAACAGTGTATATGTGATTAATAGCTCACAGAAACACATCTATAACAGAAACACTTCAGCAGAGGACATTGGTAAAACAAGAGAAAGGTTTTCTCTTTGAGCACCAGCTAATTGGATATAACTATCTGTAAGAAGTATATATAGTTATCTAGCTTATATACGGTAACCATACAACATGGTTTGAGAAATTTCAGGTAAAAGTTAATATAAGAAGCAAAATATTTGATGAAACTAAATAACAATCTAGATCCAGAGTACCTGGAGCCAGGTAACTGATTAGTGCCAGGAACAGCAGCAGTTTCAAAACTCTGACCAACCAAATAATGGATATCATGATTAGTACTTTCCATGTTGCTAAAATTAATGGAAGTTTTCTATGTATTACACATGTACTACAAGACAGACTGCCCTAATGTATAAAACTTTTGTTTAAAAGTAACCTTCACAAGTTGTTGTATGTCTGATAACAGTACTGCAAATCAGAACTCCTCTTCTCTTTTAGCCAACACATTCTTTTTCTGGACAGCTGCAGTCACACGTGCAGTTTTTCAAGGGAGACTTTCAGTCTCTCATTGAGACTGTCTTCCTAACAAAGTCCAAATTTCTTAAATATTCCAAGTCTGGCCATTAGCTCCTCATCTTTAAAATATGCCTTCTCTAAAAGAGGAAGGGTATCTAGCTTACTGCAGAACTTTCCAGAGGTATAGCAGTATGATCTGTTAGATGTGGGCATTTAATTCTTTAGCTTCTGGCCAGGCACTGAATACCCTTCCTACCTATTTTACCTCAAGAGGACAACAGATCTTGGACAATGGGGCTGCAAACCATCTTTGTTCTCTACTGCTCCTAAAGAGTAAACACCTGGAGAATTACAGGCTTCAACTGTAATTCTGCTGCTGTAGAACTTTCACATTCGAATTTGCCCATAGAGCCTAAGATATGATATCCACAATCATGTTTATTGTTTTTGAAAATCTTCATTTAGATCTACATGGATTAGATACATTCTGAACTTTCTTCAACTCTGGAGGCATTGAACCTTTAGAGTGGCGTATGGGATTCACACAGCATCCCTGATGGCTTCAAAAAAGTTGGAAAACTAGCATCTCAAATTCAGCTTGTCAGCTTCTCCAAACTGTTTCATGGCCAAGAGGTTCTTTCCCAGCTAATCCACCTTCTGCTACTGATCATCTCTTTCCATATACTTTCTGGTAGTGTTGTAAATGTTGGTCCTTTGCAAGAGGGATTTCTTTTTCTCTTCCAAGCTTCATTTCCAGCTCTACCTCTTCTGCAGCTCTTTCCTTTAAGGCTAGTTATGGAAAAATCTGCTTCCCAGATTTAATGTATTACTTTATGAATTTTCAGACATTTGGGGGGCTCAATTGATTTATTCAGATGTATTTCATTGTCTCTCTTCCTCATATTTTCAAGACAGTTTTATCCACTAGTCCATTTACTTCATCTAGTGAGCAATGAGCTCATGACAGCTAGGAAATCTTTATTATAGACATTTGTCTTTCCTTGCAACACTAGAACTGTCTACGTGATGCCAGTTGTCTTCAATCCATTTCTTACTTTCCTTGAAATTAATGGCCAACAAGCCTAGATTCAAATGGCAACAGTAACAATTTCTTGTGCTTCTGCCAAAGCTTTCAAGACATCTCAGAATTAGGAAACACATTCTGAAATAAGAATTTAATCAAACAAAGCCTCTCTGAGGACTTTGCCTCCTTGAAATCCGTTCAGACCGAAGGGACACCATTGCAATTCATATCAAACCTTTTCAATTTCAGATGATACCCTCCTGAATCCAGAAAGACTTTCAGGGTCCTTTCTTTCTGGTGCTAGGGGAGTAGAGATTACAGCCATCACCCCACCAAGGTAAATTTATCCTTTTATGTCCTAAGTCACCATCTACCAGTTAGTGCTGATTTCGTATCTAGCTTGTTTTAACAAAATTCACACTCCAAAGACATCTTTTGTCCATGGTCTCTGGTCTGCTGTTGATCACCAAAACCCAGAAGTCCTCTCATAAGACTGACAGAAATGTTACAAATTACAACTAAAAACTATTTTATCTGCTTCCCAGAACTCCTGTCTTTCTTATGACCTTTCCAACGGTTTCTGGGTCTGCCTGCCTCCACCTTGCTCCATTTCTTAAAAAGCAGCAGTCTAAAAATGCTTTCCTCTTTTAGCCACCTGGACATTATTCTCAGCATCCAGGGCTTCACAGTGCTTCTATGGCTTTTTTACTTGTAATCAGTCCATCTAATTTCTGTCACCAAATTCAACCAATTTGAATGTGTAATGGAAAACAGTCTCAATAACAACTCACAGTTGTTTTCAGGGATGCAAGTGCATCATTTCAAAGCAGATCCTAAAACAAAAATAGAAACAGAAAAGAAAACAGTGCCCACTACCTTTCTTCAGCTGCTACTCCAAAAACCTGTTGTTTTGCTGTCTCTTCTAAGCCTCCTCAATTGACAAGATTGACTTGACTGATGCTTGGTCACCAGCATCAGTTGTATTGCTAGTGTATCATAACTGACATGTCATGACACATCTGTAGTTCACCCTTTCACAAGCAATATGCCTTTAGAAGATAACAGAGATGACCATTATGCAATACACAGCAGTCCTAGCCCATCTTTTGTGTTTTGGAGTCTCTTAGAGAAGTTCTTTTTGGGTGTCTCAATTTGCTTAGCCTTTCTTTTCCATTTCCCTTCCCCTCCACTTTCTGCAACAGTTCCTTATTACGCCCTTGAGAAGCTGCTGCTCACAACTAGGTAAAAGTTAAGAACTAATGCCTCAGATTAATCCACATACTGCCTAGAAGTTAAGATTCATGATGGGTTCTACAAAGAATTTTGTGTTGTGTTACCAATTTAAAGATAGTAGTAGAAAAGGGCAGTCAATCTGAAATGGAAAGTCCAGTTACCAAAGCCAAATGGTCTTACAGGGCAAAAGAAACTTGACATTCACTAACTTTCTGATGCAATCAATAAGTAATTCAAAACACAGGACAGTGCCTCCGCCCCCCCCCCCCCCCACTGCTCTGAATCTTACCATGAAGAAAGAATATATATCTATATATCTATATATATATAAAGAATATATATAAATATATATAAAATATATATATACAAATATATATATATATATATACATATATATATATATATATTTTATATATGTGAGTCCTGGTTGATGGCAGGCATCTTGGGCAAATATAAATATATATATAAATATATATATTTATATTTTGAACATATATATATTTTATGAGATTTTTTGAACTGAATTATAACACTGGCATAGTTGCCCAAGATGCCTGCCATCAACCGGGACTCACTGGCCCATTTTTAACTTGCCAGCTGTTTTTATATACTGAAAGAAAGCCTCTGTATTGCACCTCTTTATGGTGCAATGCAGTGGTCAGACTTCGTACAGTGGCCTAACTTGCATTCCAGTAGTTGAATGCATACATCTACGTAGCCAAGGAGCCTGCATCTGCTGTGCTGAGTATCCTTAAACCTCACAGAGAGACAACTACATATAAATCTTTATCTGACACATCAGGATAACATTTAACATGTTTGTCTTGTTTCTTCGTCTGCTAAATTTATCAAGAGATTAAAAAAAAAAAAAAGGCATTTTTTTCCTTTTTTTTTGTAGTCTGTCCAGACCACATATGTGTTCTTTGGAATTTCATAAAGTTTCCTCAGATCCATCTTATCTGTTCACTTAAAAGAAAGTAAAAGCAAAGCATGCCTTTCTCCTATCAGAGCACAAGTAAAAGCAATTTGGTCTGACATATGTATATGTGAATGTATAAATATTATATATATATATATATATATTTATTTGAAGTAACTACTTTTAAATGTATGTGTGTGTATACATATATATTTGAATATATTAGCATTTGAAGTGGCAGACAGCTGACAGAGTAAATTAGTTGAAGAAACTTAGAAAATCATTTTACTTAATTACCTTGTGTCAGGTTTTAGGTTTTCCACCGTAGAATGGGTTTGATTTGTAGTGATAATTGACTTCTCCTTTTCACCATCACTTGCTCCGTTTTCAGTTGACACAACTTCATACTCTAGAAAAATACAGTAAAGAGAAACGTGTTTAAATAACAGCTCTCACTTGAACTTAATTGTTCTCCCTTTTTTCCATCTGATTTCCACTCCTACTGTCTAACAGGCTGTACAGACATTTCATGTGAACAAGTCTGGATGTTAGTATTGTAAAATGGTAAGAAAAACTCCTTAGAGTTCCAATTACAGATTGCTGAGTGCCTAGCCTCTCATCCTTTCTCATGATTCAGTTATGTGACAGAGGATACTCAAAATCTCACCTTCCCCAAGGGTACTCTACTGACAGAATACTGAACACAAGTAAGTTTACATATCCCTCAGTTTGAAAAAAGAAGCATCAAAGATGAAAGTACAGTTTCTAAATGCTTAAACCCTGATTAACTTAAAGTAAGACCTAATAAAACTTAGGTTTCCACAGGAAACTGCTCACTAATTTTGCTTATGCTCTTGGGAATCTGTTAGTTTAGAATTAAGTACTTTTTTTTTTTTTTTTTTTTGTATTTGTATTATTTATAGAGACTTACTACTTTATTTTCACCTCACTGGTATGTACTACCGAGTGTGAGCCATGCTCTAAACAGGGGAGTAGAACCAGATGTTTGGGAAGAAGATGCCCCTTTGAAAAATCATAACCATATCCAAGATACAGTCCATCTCTAGCATGCATCCTCTGACATGAGTCACAACTCCAAGCTTCTATGCCAGTCTTTCAGACCAAGCAATTACACACGTATATGTACATGTGGATTTTAGATTATTTGCTATAATGGTTTCAGAAGCAACCACTACACAGGGTCTTTTTATATCATATCATATTTGGAGCATAGATGAAGCAACATGTAACTTTAAAATGGGTTTAAGAGTATGTCAAAAAGCCAGTGTTTTCTCTACGCTTTTCCTTCTTGGAAACAAAGACCCTTTCCTACACACACACGCACACACACGCGCACACACACAAAAGGAAAAGCCCTTATTCACCACAATTAAGCTTCATTATAGCAATGATGCTTATTAAGGACAGGACAGAGGCTGGATTTCTACTGCCTTAGGAGTATCTGGATAGAGAATCAGTAGATAACTTCACAGAAATTCAATCCATCTGCCCTTCTGCTAGCCCCAAGTCACACGCTTTAAACTTTTTAACTCATTCAAACTGGAGAATAAAGGATAATACAACAAATGCATGGGCATGTGCTTCCATGCACACATACAATGAACTACGGAAGTGCATCCAGTATCTGCTTGTTAATGTATATTAACAGTGATCCTCAGTGGACTAGACAATACACTGCCCTCCATCTCTGAGACAACTCAACAGGAGAAGCAGGGCACCAGAAAAAAGTTCTTGGTCCCTGACATTTTGCAGCTTTTATGAAAACAAGGAGGAAAGCTTGACCACTACTTTAGCTATTATTTGTCACATCTTTCCATTACCAAAGTATAATTTTGGTTTTAGTAATACCTAATATTATGAAAACCCTCATGCAACATATTAACTAATAGTCAACAGCAGTATTTTTTAAATAAGGCTCAACAAATTATCCACAGTTCTATCTGAAACTGCACATTAAAAATAAAGATGTGATGTCCAAATCAGAACATTGAAAAAACATTTTTTTCAAAATACAAAAATAAAGGAGATGACAGAAAACTTGATTTAAGTTCTTCTAAACAAGTAATATCATTCTTGTGCCAATATGAAGTAATCACCTTTTGGAGAAAATGGGATTCATTGACTTTTGTTGACTACAGAAAACATTCTTAGATGAGTCATTAACGGACTTATTTTTTAGACATTAAGATGAAGGACAAAAACTCAGTGGGAGTATTTCTAAGCCACAGAATTCAAACATTTTGTATTATGTGTATTCATGTCCAGAGAAAGGCAATGAAGCTGGTGAAGGGTCTAGAGAACAAGTCTTATGAGGAGCAGCGAAAAATAACAGAAATAAGACTGTATCAGAAGGAAATCAGACCTTGCTTTCCTCATTACATGATGCATGCTGACAGTTTTTCCAGTTATAATGTAAATGTTTTTTTCTATTTCTGCAGTTGAAATGGTTGTGCTGCAGTGGGTTCATTAATGTACTCAAGAAAAACAGGTCTACTTCCAAGAAAAAAAAAAAGCAAACTAAGCAAGTTATCTGATCTTATCAAGCTAAGGACAGGTCTGTGGAGGAAGCCTCCAAATGACAACGGCAACAAAAAGGGTTTTCCCTGGATAAAAAGAGGCATAGCTGAACTGCCTAGAAAGGAGAATGTTCACAAAGAGCCTCTCCCCAGCCTAATGTTAAAGCTAGGAATACGCTACAAATCGGTTCACACTTCTTCCAGCACATTACAGAAGACAAGTCAGGTAATCATTCTTCTTTCTGATTGTTATTTTTTACTTGCCTATAGTCTTTTTTTTTTTTTCTTCCCTTTTAATTCAGCAGAAGGGGCAACTTTCTTCCTCTTTCTCAGAAGAAGGTGGTACAGGCTTATTTTTGTTCTGAGTGTGCCTTTGGATCTGCATTTATTATTTTTCAAAATTGTGGGAAGAACAGGAAAGAATCCAGGCTGAGCTTAGTAATTATTTCTAGAGAATCAAGGGAAGACTATTTTGGGGAAGAGAGCATGTGACAGTCACCATTACAGCTCTGCAGTAAAATCTGTCATGACATGCATATAAAGCAACTTCTGTAAATATCCCACTTACACGCTAAAGTGAATGGCTAGCGATCAAATCTTCCTCCTCACAGTTCCTAGACTTACTTATTCTACTCACTTGTAAAGCAACACAGCCAAATCTGTTTGGCCACAGCAGTGATTGAGTTAGTGATTTTGCAGATCAAAGTTCTCTTTTATAACAGTGGTAAAAATGGAAGCTATTATCCTGACAGTACAGAAGAACCATAATTTTCATATTCAATTCTGGTAAGTTTGTGTTGATACAGAGCAGACAGAAAAATTATGAGTGGTCTTCTTGCATGCCTACCCAGGTACTCATAGGCATAGGCATAGACTCAAATGAACAGAATCTTTACACAAAGAGAACTTTGTGGTCTTACAATGGGTACAGCAAGTAATATGCTGGCAGAGTTCTACTGACCTACCAGACAGATACTTTCATTGTATCTGGCTCACTGATCAAAAACATAATGGCAAGAAAGTTGTCTGCATTATGTGCAAGTAGCCATGCAGTAAAGAATACTGTCACAGCGGCATGAAATAAAAGCACTGAAGTGTAAGACACTTTTGGGATGAAAGTATTATTTTAAATGGCACAAAATCACTGTCAAAGTAAAAATAAGCTTGAAATACTGTATTCTGAAACAAGATAAGAAAGAAATCAAACCAACCAGTAACAGTGTCATTGTCTGGTTTTTCCCAGTCCAATATGACGAAAGTTGGACAGCCCTCAACAGTCACCACTGTGAGGTTGGTTGGAGGATTTTGTGGAGGACGAGTAGGTTCTTCCTTGATGCTAGCCTCTTCTTGAGGAAAATGTTCAAGAGAGCTTGTGATAGAGCAAGGCACATCATCATCTTTCTTCATGTACTTGACATGAGGGGCTTAGAGCAATAAGAAAGAGCTGTTATTCAGTACAATATTTTTAACAAAACATCAATGCCATTCCACCCATCCTACAACTTTCAGTTGAGGGACTGATGCAAAAATCTGTACAAGTCAAAATGAAACACAAATGTTTAAGAATTAAAACTATATATTCAATACCCTTTTCTAAGCTGCCTTTTTTGGGGGTGGGGTATTGTTAGACCTGGAATCTGCACTGCCTTCACCCTTCTGTTGTCACCTTTCATCTGACTGGAATAGACAGAATCAAATGAAGCTTTGGCCTTCAAATAACCAAACAAGATAATTTTGATATAAAACAGGTCAGTGTCCATGCATTCCCCCCAAAAGAAACACCACAGCTATTAAAATCCTACCTTGGTACCTTGGTTTGCCTGAAGAATCTGTTTCTGATGTAGGACTTGAACTGAAGACAGTTGCATCGACTGTAAGAGACACGGTTGTAATTCAATTTGCAATAAACATGAAGTTTCAGAACTGCTGTATCTCACAGTTCATTTGGCATTTGAAATCATCCCTGCTAAAGTTCCTCCATGGTAGACCTTTGATGTCAGATCTGTTTTTTCCTTTTAAGGACTCAATTTTGGCTGTGGTGCTAGGTAAACCCCATACTTACCTAACAGCATAAAGAATGTTATAATCAGAATGACAGAATTCACAACTCCTGCTGGATTCAGCTCATGCAATTTATGTGAAGTGTACTTTGGACCTTTTTAAAAGCAACTTTTTGCACTGTACTGGCCATTTAAATTAGAGCTCACTTCATATTCAAAGAATGTATAGTACTGTTAAGTTGGGACACAACTTTTCAAAAAATAGTGACAAGGACATCACAAATTTTGTCTTCAGAGTGTAAAACTTCCACAAAATGTGAAAGGAATTGTACACAAACATTGTTGTGAGCAGAAATGTGCTAGAGCATTCAGGATTCTTAACATCAATGTTGTGGTAAATAGCCAGTATATTGAACGGAATATTCCCTTAGATACAAATACTAAAATAGACATCAATGAACAGAACATATGATATATTCAGAACAAGCATTTTTTTCATACATCTAGTATCATGAGATTATATTTTGTCTCAAAAATTAATTCTAAGCACACCCTCCCCACAACTCTAGGTCTAATTCCCCACAATAAAGGTCTAATTATTAACTATCTATAATGTTTATCCTATTGTATTTTTTTCTATCTAGATAGTTGCATATTGATCAGATACATAGTAGTATATCACAACCATCTTGACCACTGTCAGCCACCATTCAAGTAATAATTTAAATTTATGTCCTATGCAAAATGAAACATTCAGGAAAATAAGTGTCTTATCTACACCTTTCACAGATTTAAAGTAGACCCTGAATAGTATTGAAAGGCTACTAAGCATGTATTGATTTCTCAAAAGATGGAAGAGCCATCATGTTCTCATTTTTCAAAGATGTGTATCAGATGACAGCCAGGTGAATTCAGGCAAGTTGCAAAAGTCAAAGTGGCATAAACAGAAATCAGAATCACTCCAGAAAGAGTATTTCTTATATTATAGTGCATCAATTTATTTTAGGAAAGGGAAGCCAGAGGAAAAAAAAAAGGAAACTTTTATGTTAATGAAGAAAAAGAAAAAAAGAAACAAAAAAGAAACCAGAGCTGTCTACATTATGCTCACCATAATACTCTGGAGTTGCAAAAGCTGTTGGTGTCTTAGATGGAATTCCTGTCCTCACAGGTGTTGTTGGTCCAGCAGATTTAGCTATAGTGACAGAAGAAGGAATGTATGGCAACAAGGCATTCACTATTTAGAAAATCAAAAACTCAAAAAAAACTCAGATTTCTGACGAGTGATTCATAAAAGAAATGGGCACATGATTTCATTTAAACTATGACATTCTCCTCAAAACTTACTCAACAGCTCCCAGTTGGGTTTAGGAAAATTCTGTGTTTTCTTTATTGCCAACAGAACCTATTCCTGAAGTCTAGTAAGAAAATTCTTTGCTATTTGGAGATTGTCTTTGACAGATTCAGGCAGCTAGAACATACATGACTTGGTTATTAAGCACTGGCTGGTAAATAGACGCAAAATAACCAACTGTTTCACAAATAAAAGAGCACATTTCTTCACACCACAGAACAGCTGAAGTCACCAACAGAAACCTGGAAACCTCCCAGACAACCACTGTAAGACTGCAAAATCTCACCTCCAAAAAGCCAAGAACTACATAATGTAGTCACCTTCACCGCATGTATGACACAGAAGAACATGGTGACTGAAGGCAGAATGTTGACAAACCAAGTTCAAAAAAATGGAAAGTAGGGATAACAGTAGAAATTTATGAAGACTCTCACTAGAGTGCAGACTGACAAAGGTTTGGAACACTCCTATTTCCTTTTTTTTCCATTCAGGAGACTTTTAATGTCTGCATAGAAACCTTCCCATAACACTCAACTAGTGGATGAGTAAGAAAGATACAAGCAAGGAATTAATCACAGTGTTAATAAGAAAGAGAAACAGAACACCATTATAGAAGGGAAAATCCAAGAAGAACACTGAAGCAAAATTTTCCTGCTAATACTGTGGAACAGCTTCTCCAGGGAACTAGAAGAAACTCATATGATGTTCAAAACCAAGCAGGACAAACATTATGAAACAAACTAAAAGGAAAATCTACTACCAGTCTCACAAGGAAGGACCAGATCATCTAACTGATTTATTCCATCTTGAATGTCTAGGAAGGCATGATAACTGCTGACTACTCCATAACCTGGCCTCTAGCGTATGGAAAAAAAGGTGGAATTCCAAAATGCTGGTAGATGAATTACAGATTTAAGAAAGAAAATAAGCGTAGATCTCATTACAAGCAAAAGAAAATGCAAGAAGTGAAGATTTTTTGTGCTATAGCTCAAGACTGACAATGTCTTATGCTCTGTTTTAGCTATTACTAAGGAAACGCCACCAGTCAACAGGAAGTACAGACACAACTTTTCTATCTTGGCTCTGCTGTTGAGAATATATACAGCTTGTTTCATCCATGTTTGAGGTTGTAGTTCTAATCTGATGCACAGAATACTGACGATTTATTTAGGTCCTTCCACCATTGCCAACAGGAAGACCTGCCACAGGGGTAAACTTTCTCACAAGGATGTTGGCTGACGCAGAGATGGACCAGTTTTTTTGTAGATGAGCAAAAGAGGGAGAGGACAAAAGGGGCTTCCCTAGCAGGCCCAAACAGAAAGGCAGTCTCTCCTTTTGAGAAATTTCAGAAAAAAAAATCACAACCCCCTTAACACACACAATTTCAAATTTCAAATCCAAAGACAAAATATACAGATGACACTGAATATTAGCTTCAGGATAAAATTAAAATAAAATAGTAAACGTAAAAGATTCTGAGCGCTCTTACACTGATACTGAGAAGCAGGAATACTGTTACACATAGATTAAGTTAAACTCATTGTACATGTAATAACTCATATCCCTCTACCTGCCAGTGAGTTTTCTGGCTGCCTATTAGCTTAAGTTATTAGCAGGGGTTAATGGATGTGCCATATCTATCGTATAGGGACACATACATGGGACAGAATTCCTTTATTAATTACCAATTGTGGGTACATACTGAAGCACAGTATTTGATATCTCCCATCTGACACATACATTAAGTAACTGCAAATGCTATTAGTAGACATTGAAATGTTTTAAAGGATGACTTGCATGACGCTACTTGGCTTTCAGCTCCCTTGCTATGGATGATTTTTACACAACTAGGTCAGGAAAACAAAAGGAAAACACAATGTATAAAGACAAAAGACACAAGGCATGCATGTTCCAGAAAACTGGTTTCTATAGATAACACATTTGATTCAAGACAGAGAATCTATACTGTAAAATTTTCCTGTACACAACCAGTCAAGTTTAGTATCTAACACACTATAAAATATTTATGGGTAAAGGCTGAGATACCTGGACTCCCTGGTTTACCAGTCACAGTATTTGGAGGCAGAGGTTTTCTTCGCATAGGTGTAGGCTTGACAGGAGGTATAGGAGGACGCTGAGGTCTTGGTGATGCAGTTACTGAATGACATTACAGGACAGTGTCGTTAATTAGTTACCCTCAAATTCCATAAAATCAGAAAACCTACTACAAGTTAAATTCTGACTTCTGAAATAATATTTAATGTTTCATTTATAATCAAAAGCAAAGAGGTGAAGCAAGGAGCCAAGAACAGTTGTATTTTCAGACTTAAATTCTTTGGGAAGTGGTGGTGTGGAACTTTAAACCAAGCTTACAATGAGAAAATGTAGCTCCTTTGGGATTTTGTACAAATACTTCAGAGATTTATTTTCTGTGTAGTTACTCACTTCTGTCAACAGTTATTTTTTGGCAGCTGACGGGATACTTCTTCCCACAATAAACACCACCTGAGTTTAGATGGAAATGTCTTCAGTATCCTACTCACAAAATTCCAATTCATTTGTGCTTTCTAACTGATAAAACTTGTCACTTTCAGCTTAAAGCATAAGATGTAGCAAAAGCGAAATGATTATTAGGGATATGTTATCTTATGTCACTTTAACATAAACAATGAAAGTCACAGTCAGCTCATGGATTGATATGAAAAAAAAAGACTGTTGTTGTGTTAGAAACTCCTGAAGCAACCAACTAGGCTGCTTCAATGCACATTTCCAGCCAATATGCATTAAATTTATCTGGTAGGGTCCTTCGACAGCTAGCTCTGAAAGGAGAACCTAAGTCTGATAACTGATACAGAACATTTTTCTGTGTCTTCCAGGCTATTACAAAGGATTTTATCATGTAAAAGAAAGGCTACAGGAAAAGATTTTTCTTCCACTATTCACCTCTGCACTTTTTTCCTTAGGAAAAAACTAGATGTGTGCAACATGTATATGTAACAAAAGACTTCTTGTACCTAAGAGGAGAAAACCCTTAACAGAATATAATTCTTAATATGCTGCCAATATCAACAAAACTGTGAGCTGCCTGATACTGAGTTACTGGCTATGTAGAGTTCCCCAGGACCTATTTATCAGACCCTAGTTTACCCTATAAATAGAGTGATTGTGGGTGAGATGGGAACAGATCCAAAGACTCATTTGGGAAAGCTTTTTTAGAAATACTTACAATATACAAACATGAACATCTCCATCTTTCTTGGTTCACTTTTACTTTCGGACTTCTGCAATCATTTACAACCCCCTCCCTCCCCTTTTTTTTCTCCTTTTCTTATCCCTCAGACCAAGACAGTTAACAATGCTAAATCTAATTCAGAAAGATTTAGTGGTTTCAAAAACAGTATATATAGTTTCATATTCATTCTTCATCAGGCAGAGATGAAAAAATATGCCTAAAGACTTGAAAAATTATATATTACTTGTTTATATGTCATCGTACCCTAGATATTACTACACAGTAGTACCCATAATTAATATCCAACTGCCCGTATGTAGGAAATGGGATTGTCTGAGGTATTTATGGGGTAAAAATTTGTAGGCACTGACTTGTTAGTGGTTTCTACTGTATCTTCCAAAGAACACAACCACAGTAGTTAAATGCAAGCTGAAACAGTGTGTCACAGTTGAATCTACTATACTGCACTCTGGAAAAAAAAATGAGAATCCTTACCATTCCCTTCTACTTCCACGGTAATTTAGAAGACAGTCTATGATGTTACCAAATGTAATTAACTGAGTTTGTAAACTAGGACACACACAAGAATTTAGGGATTTTCTGATAGCCTGGCTTATTGCTTAAAACAGTGGCATTGTGAACTATTAGGACTTATTTAATCTCAGGTGTTCTTTGGACAGGGAATGTATTTCCTTTACTTTATCACCCCTATCACTCTTCATGAAAAAGGAGGCTGAATAGCCTCTTAGGACATACTACTAACAACGCATCAGTGCTGCATGCTGTAATGCATCTTCTTCATACCTCATGTATGGTGTAAATGTCAGTCTGTCAGTTAACACACATTAAGATTTCAAGAAAAAAATATATATATACATAAAAGCTAGGTCAAATATTGGCTAACTTATAGCTATACCCAATAAATTGAGTTTTCATATACATATTAAGGCACCATAGAAAGAGCTGAGATCACAAAAGTATACAAGAAAATTATGGAACAGTAGTAGCTAACTTCACAAACATACCCGACTGTCTATTATGATTAGAATTCAAGGTATTGGCTTACTTCAAAGCTCTAAAAGCTTAACTTTAAACATCTAATGTCAAAAGATGAGTAAAAGCGTATGTAAAAGCATCCTTAAAATCTCTGTGCATAAAAAAAAATAATATTGCAGTGTTTGCAAATCAGACTGGATTTACTTAAGTGGACATCACTGCTCGACATGCCATGACAGAAAAACAAAAAACAAAGAAAGCAAAACAGAGAGCCATGCTTCTTTTCAGTTTGTAGTTTGAATCCAGCTACTCCTAAGAGTATACCACGCTACATAATCTGTGCTGAATACAACGTTCTGATTGAATTAAATTTAAAAAGATAAAACATCAGAACTCAGCCGTCAAGCAAGGCTGCTGTCTTTGTGCAGGTAAATTAGGTGCAAAGGAAATCCAGTAGGGATTAGGAGCAAACAGCAGTTTATTAATTACTAACAAGTGTATATCTGTATCTCTTTTTTTAAAGCCAAATAACATATTTTCAAAAGGAAAATCTAAACCAAAAACAACAGACGCAGCTGAAAAATAAATCCAAGGGCAAAGTCAGAAATATTTTGAGTCTAGTCAGTTTTTATGCCAGTAAAAAAGCACAGTTAAAAGCAAGGTCTATTCCTAGTTATGCTAATAAAACCAAGAAAATTCTCTGCGAGTGTGTTTGCATGCTTGTCTGTATTGTTATGTGTAGATGTGGAACAAAAAAAAGTGAAACATGAGAAGGCTATTTTTAAAGATTTATTCAGGGAAGTTGTTTTTCTGTAAAAATATTTAGAATATTTTGAAAATGGAATTGTAAGACTTGCAAGAGAAGTAAAACTGACAAGTCTTTTATAGCACATGTAAAGTTAAAAATCACATGTAAAGTCTACTTAAGTTAAAAAACTGTAAGCTTATTCACTCCCACAGTGTTTTGCAACAATCCTAGCATTCTAATTTTCCTAACAATCCTAAGGTCCAAAAAAGCGTTCTCATAAGTGGGTAGGTAATTTGGTTAAGCATTTCCCATTGCTAGTTAGAACCCACAGATATGAAAAAGATCAGTGTTTACAGTAGAGTGGCTGTTTAATCGCAAGGATACAATGAGCACTGGCAATGGTAATATTTAGTCACAAACATATGCCACATACTAAGTACTGACCATGAAATATTCTTGTTTTTCTCTCTCTTAATACCATCCTGAAGCCAAGAGACAATGCACTAATGAGGATGACCAAAAATTATTTTCTCTTCTTCAGTGGAGGTGTTTTTCTTTTGTTGTTGTTTGTTTGTTTGTTTTTGGTGTGTGTATGTGTGTGTATAGGAAAGGTGATGTTCCAATTTTTCATGACTATTAAAAATTGGTACATTGTCCTTTTTATTCATCTTACCAGAAAATGGCTTTTCGTGGGTATCAGTATATTCAAAAGGTTTTTCTACATCCACGCCAATTTGTCTAGTAATATCCTCAGGTGTATAAACGTCATCTGTGAAACAAAAGGATATGAATTAATTATCTACAGAGCAGTACCAAGTTATATAATACTTCTATATTGTATGTGTCCAAATTCTAGGTAACATGACGTGTAAAACTGGTATTTTTAGTGATAACTATTACCTTCCTATTTGAATATGTAGAAAGTGGTCTTGGCATAGAGAGTCTACACTTTAATTTTAAATATTTGTTGTAAAAGGCCTGTTTAGAAAGAGGGTAAGATTAAGAGATAACTACTAAGAAACCAAAATTATATGTGGAAGGATGAATACAGGGCACGTTTTAGTATTTCTGTACACAGAATAAAATGTCTGTTGATTTTTGTTACGGGCAAAGTTCTCCTCTTCCTGAAAAATAAGATCTTCGATTATCCTCCATATTGAATAACTAGAGGAATTCTAAACCAAACACATACCATATTTGCAGTAGTGGAGGCATAAAAAAAGTGTGCGTAAAATTCAGCTTGTATATAGAAGAATGTCCCACTTAAAAGTAATATAAACACATACACACAAACACAAAAAAAGAAGTAAATGGCATTAAAAAGATCAACACAACTACTCCTGGTACAGAACAATTGTTTCACATGCTGACATTTATAGGACAGCCAAATTGTTAAATTAATATGCCTTCCCTACACAGAATAAGCATATTTACTTTATAAAAACTCTATATATGGTAGACTGAGAAGACGCTTTACAATTTCATCATTTTTGTGAAAAGTTCACCCTTCTCATGACCTTAGAACCACTCCCCCTCCAGCAATTTAATGTATCAACTAAAAGAATACACACACATACCTACACACACACATATAAATTACCAACTTAGAAAGACTATTCCAACATAATCAAAACATTTCAACTGAAGATTTCACGTTTCTAATCTGGTACTCAGTTTATTACTAGACTACACCTATATTCCACCAGTATAAAACAAGTAGTTTTTCATAAATTTTTCATGGTAAATACGATGAAGGTCTCCTGGTTCCTGTGACTGAAATTCTTAAACGTAATGTGATTTTTGTTATAACTGAAATTTGTCTTCAGGTAACTAAATTGGTTAATTAGGTCTTCAGATATACAAAGCACCAGAGTACTAATCAATGTTTCACATGACTAGCGTTCAAGGATGACACATGAGAACATCAGCATTAGCTTTAAAAAGAAAAATAAATCGTATACACCGTGGGTTACAGTCAAAGTATATTAGCTTCTAAACTTCATCCCACAATAAATATGCATCATCCCATTGCCTCAATCTCACAAAATCATCCAGATATCTATTACATGTCTAACTTAGTTTTGCACCTGTGTCTACAGAAAAGCCTGCCTTTATTTTGCTCTTCACTATATAGTTTAGAATTACAATCTCTTAAGTTATTAACAACTTGTACCCTAGAGCAACACACTTTGTTTTTTTGTAGCATCATGTTTTTGAAATTTATCAGAGAACTCTCATATGGTTGTTGAAGTGCTTTTTCCCTTAAATACACATTTTCACCCAAATGAGACTGAGTATTCCCTTCTATTGTATTCCATTTAGGAGAATCCCTGTCATAAATCTGGCTGACCTGTGTAAGATAATCACTGATTTCACTGAAGAGTTGTCGTGTTTTTTTGTTTTTTTTTTTTTAAGTATTTAAATGCAAAAACAAACAAACAAAAAAAACTCTTCATAAACATAAATCTCTGAGGTTTTTTTTTAAGGGAGTGGGGAGAGAGGAAGGGAGGAGGATCTCTTCATTCTTCTGAGCATTTATCCAAACTTTTTCCAACAGGAATCTTTCCATCCTTCCATGAACCAGTTACTGCTATGATTCCTCATGTTCCTGAAAGAACAAAGGCAACACCGGGTAATCATTTGCTTCATAAATAATTACTCTCTTTTATTCTTGTTAGAGAAGGTGCTCATTACATCATATTAAAAACTAATAATGCAGTTTTGCTCTGATTCTAGATACCAGCTTGCTCTTTGATCTTGATAAGGGAAGTAATGCACAAGCTCATTTACTTTTGAAGGTTCCTTTCCTCATCTTCTAGCCATTCCAATCAGGAGGACATAATTCCTTCAAATGTTATATATTTTCCAGTAAAAGTGAGCTTTATTTAAAGAACAGATAGTGATTCCTGTCATTTCTGCATCTGAGGTATGGATACTGTTATCATAAAATGCTGTTCTGCTTTACTATTCATTGTATAATTTTACGGAAGAATGTATGAACTACAGCATAACATACAGCAAAGCATACAAGTTATGTGACTTCACAAGTCAAACACCACTTCTTAAAACCATTTTCTCTGTTAACTTTTAGTAATACCTACTGGGAAAACTTTTTTAAATATGTGAAACATCAGTCTCAGAATTCTTTCTTCTTAACTTGCCAGATGGGGACTAAATAAGGGTGAATGAATCCATGCAGAATAGGGCAGTAGGGTTAACAATCTTTGCTAATAATTGTTCTCTGTCCCTGGTTTCAGGGGAGACGTCCAAGATTTTCTGAGAATTAAGTGGTATCATTAATGAAGTAATAACCACTGTTTAATAATCTTTTATGTATGGTTTTTTCCCTGTGGCAAATAGGACACTAGAAATGCTTTTCATCATGTTCGTATTTTAATATCTATTCTCTGTATGCATTGATACTTAGGTATTTGGTATCTTTACATAACTTTATGAAGTTTATGTGCCTCATCATACACATCTGGGCCTACCTGATGGAATCTTTTACGTGCACAAAATGGTTCTTTAGAACAAGTGGGTGAAGAATGTACAGGCTAAGGTCGATTTTTGAGGACCTTTCACATTGGTGTGGATCACAGACTTGCACGTGTTTGCTGAAAGTGCTAAAATATCTTTTCCAGTACGAAAGTCATGACAGAATTACTAGAATAGAATAAAATAGTTCTTGTTGGAAGAGACCTATTGATTGGTTGATTGATTGATTCCAACTGCCTGATAGCTTCAGGGCTAACCAAAAGTTAAAACCTATTAAGGATATTATGCAAATGCCTCTTAAAGATGGACGGGCATGAGGTATCAGTCACTTCTCTATGAAGTTGTTACAGCACCTGACTACCCTCTCAGTAAAGAAGCTTTTCTTAATGTCTGGTCTGAACCTCCCTTGATGCAACTTTGAGCCATTCTTACAAGTTCTGTCACTGAATACCAGGGGAAAAATGTACCTCCCTCTCCACTTCCCCTCTTCAGGAAGTTATAGAGATTAATGAAGTACTGAATAGTATGGAAATGACAGGGATAAATAGTTCCCATGTAAAAACAAGGAATTTAATTTATATATCAAGTCTGATATGAAGGGCCCACTGAAAAACAGGTACTGTCTTCAGATTCTCATGTACAGCACAGAAAGGCTACTACTGTCTGTTTTTGTCCCATTACTTTATTGTGTGCTGTTTGTGACTGTATTCTTCACTGCTTCATCCAAAGCTACAAATCTGTGTATAACTGTTGGGAAGTCTGTCTGTGTCAGTGGCCATTTAATTTCTTTTCCTTTCTTTACAGGAATTCCAACTGACTGATTTTCAGCTTCTCTTAATATAGATTAGATCATACTTCCTTGTGTACTACAATATTCCTTGTGTACTATGGAAACAGTGTTTTTGTTTGTTTTGTTTTGTTTTTAAAGAATATTTCAATTATTTTTATGGGTGCTTTTTTTTTCTTTTTCTTTCTCTCTCTCTTTTTTTTTTTTTTTTTAATTTCAGCTCCAAGTGAAAAACAATTCATTCATACCAAACCAAAAAACCTGAAAAACCAAGAGTGCCACACACCAAACCTGGTAATTGAGTCAATCTTGTAATTTTGTGTGTTTCTATTTAATCATTCTTTTCCCCTAGCCTGAGTTTTTCTGCTTTAAACAGAATTATTCGTATCTGGTTTTATGGTGAATCAATGGTAAATCAACCTTTAGATCAGTCAATCCAAAATGTCAAAACTACGCTGAAAATAATAGTAGCATCTGTAGTATGTTTTTCCTCCTCCTTATTACATTCAGCAAATGATGACTAATAATTTGAGTGTTGACAATTTTCAGTGGCTTAGATACACTGAGTTCTCTCTTATTGCTGTCTTGTAATCAGAGGGGCTTCTCTATGAGCATGTTTTTTCACCCACAAAATGCAATCTAACTCCTTTGAAATATGTTGTTACACGTAGCAACTGACATGTGTTATACTGAAACAAAAGTACTTTTAAAATAGTTAAGATCTGTGTCTCTTCCCATTTTTGTTATAGAAGTAATGTATAGATGTTAATAGAAGGATACTGATAACTGTCAACAGTTGATTTTTAAGATATTCTGCTACTCTTTAGTTTGGGGCATTTTGAAAGCTTTAGAAATAGTGCAAATACTGCTTTGTTTCTTTACAGTTAAATTTTAAGATTCTCAACATTTTCTCCCTTAACAGCAATACATCAAACAACCCCACAACCACTTATTACAAAATCTTCTACTACCACTGAGCAGTCAAGGGCAACAATGGGTAAATACATTTCCTTAAACTTAAGATGCAGGTCTTTTTAACTGTTCGATGGGGAAGTTTCTAGAGAATATGCTCTGGTGTGTTCTTTTATGCAGTATCAGTCCACTGTCCATCATTCTGCTTACACGCGTGCATGTTTCTTAATACAGAAGAGTCTCAGTTCTATCTTCGAGCTAAGGCAGAAATTGCCTACCGTTCATGTCTAGCAAGAAGACTGTATTTTTCAGTTCTCTAACCAACTTCAGTGGTCTAATTTTTCTTTTAGAGCAAGAGTTCTAGCCACTAACTCACATTATCATACAGCACAGTATTAGAATACCACTGTGTTTTGGAGAGCCATTTTGTTTCAGGTTCCAGAAACCCATGGAATTGTTATTGTCTTTTTTTCAGGCACTTGAGGCATGCACTTTCTGTGGGCTAAGTATGGCATTGGATTGTGACTCCTGAAAAATACAACAATAATCTTTTTCCTTTCTTTCAGCTCCAAAAGAAACACTGCTCGTTCCTTCCAAACCCAAAACATCTGTTGAGCCAGAAATACCACAGACTAAACCTGGTAATTTAAAGTTTTTAACTTTAAAAGTGTTATTGGAGCACTACTTTAGTTACACTTTTTGCTGTCATTTGGTACTACAGGGATGTGACATGATCGGTATTTAGAGAGAAATTAGTGTAATTGTTCAACTCGGAATACCTCAGTGAATTACATCGAAAAGAATGCCCCAGAACTGGGTCATGTCTATGGGTACACACAAGTTAGGGTGGCTATTTTTTATAAATTTATTTTTTAATTGGTTGATAGAAGCCATTAAAATATGAGGAACTTGATTAATTTGAGTGAAGATACACTACTGTAACTGGTTTCACTAAGTTCTTTTATTTGGGGCAAATTTATTACACCAGATAAATGTGCAAGTACTTTTGAAACTCAGGCTACAGGATCGTAGTCCAAAATAGTTAGGTGGTAAGAGTACAAGTACCATCTTCTAATCAGTGCAGTAATAATAGTAAATTTACGGATGCATAATTATAATGAAGGATGTATATTATATCAGCTTCACCTGGGGTATGAACTATTTCCATAAAAATTACTACATTGGAAGCTTATAATGGAAAAAAAATAATCTAGGGAAGGTGTGACAACATGATCATAAGAAAGAACAACACTTAACTTTTCTTCATTCCTAATTCCCAGTCCCAAACTGGTGATACTTTATTTTTTAGGCAATTAGGTTTGTGAATAGTTTTATCATTCCCCCTTTTTCCTTAGACTTCTCATGTAGCCAGAAACAATTTAAACAGAGACCCTATTCATTAAAGAATGGTACACGTATTTTATTATGAAAATCAAATGGAACAGTCTAGCCAAAAAAAAAAAATGTTTTCTAAAGGATTATTTTGGAAGACTCTCTGTAAGTAACCAAGCTAGATTCTAAGTCTCAATTGAATTAGAGCTATTTCCAATCTTGTCATAGTTAACAAGTACCACATTTTGGCACCACTACACAGTTCAGTTTAGTAGAAGAATTTTAGAAAACAGAACTTAAGGGGTTATGTTTTTAACGTTTAAAATTTAAATAATTGTAATGACCTATATGCAAAAGAAATTCTACTGTTATCTGGAAAGTTGTTAAAAATAAATGGCACTAATTAGTCATTACCCTTCATCCTAATAAGTAGGTTATTTTCCAGCTTCCATATTTTAACCTTGTTTCTGAAAGAGAAAGAGACACATGTAGCATGCACTTCTGCTTGCCAGTCTTTCCTTTTCATCCAGTAACTTTCTATCTTTGACAAAATGTGGTCAATTTTGAATGAGGGAAGAATGCCTTAAAGATAATTATATTATTACAATCTTTTAGAGAATTTTGAGGGAAATGCAAGTTAGCGTCCTCTATTAGGGTGTCTGTTCTGAAGTAGGTGGAGGCCCAGCAGAATATTTGCAATGTCTGTCTGTCAGCATGAAAATACCTCCAGACTACTCAGAACACAGGCCTGTCTTAAATCTGTAAAAATTGTCTTAAAAGATGCGTAGGTAGATGTTTATGAAACAAAGGACACAGATACTTAATGAAATCCAACATCATTGATTTCACATCTCACAGAACAATGTTTTATTTCTCATAGCTCCAAGGACAACACACCTGGGATCAATTAACCTCATAACAGTTCATGTTGTTGATGGGTCCAAAATGACTTTGGGTAATGAGAATATTATGACATTTTATTTTTATAACTTCACTTTCTCTGCTTTTGCTATATGGCTAAACTTATCCTTTAATCAACAGAAGTACCTTAAATATATCTTCATCTTCTTTCATTAGTTAGGCACGTTCCAGGGCATGTACAAAATGTTGCTGTTTTAATTTTCCAGTCATGTTCCATCCAATTTGTTTGTAATTATTTATAGAAATAAATGCTTCATGTACATGATTGAGGAGTCATATAAAAAGATGTCTTGCTCATCTTTTCTTCTGTTGTCTAGCTTTTTAATTACGTATATCTTCCCAGTCTTGAAGTTCTGGTATAAATCCATGATTTTCAGTCAGGTTTCTATCACTCACCCTTTTTGTTTATGGTCTGCGCTATGTTTGAATTTCCCTTCCACCTGTGGTATCTGATGTTTAAAAGAAAATCATTTGCATTTGATAAGCAATCAAATCTCCTCTTTCAGTTCCCAATGAAACATACCAGATTTCACCCAAACCTAAAACGGCTCTTGTAACTGAAATTCCACGGTTACATACAGGTAATTCTTATAATTTTCTTAGTTTGTTGCATTGAGAGTCTATTTAAACCTCTAACTGAGTATATATAAACCTCTAATTGAGGTTTAGTGGTCTGTTGTTACTACCCTTGAAAGCTTTTAAGCATTATTAGTGTTTTGTGTCTGATCCACAGATCAAAAGCATTGCAAACACAAACATAACTGACTCCCACCTTTTTCTCAGTATTTGTGAAATTTTTACCAAATTTGAATGTCAGAACTTAGTAATATGTTCTTTCCTGCATAAATGTTTTCTCAGAAACTTCAGAGAGGCTAGAGTAACTGATGTTGATAGAATGGTTGTTAGACTCAAGTATCAGGTGGATAGCTGTATTTATGTAAAAGTGTTTGAGTTACTCAGGTCAGTTATTTGGCATAAGATGACAGTGATGACTACTTAAATTTTCAGGTTTCAGTGTGATTCACACACATACTGTAACAAATAAAATTTCAAAATTGTTTTGCAAGTGAAAGACGACAGTAGGAAAAGGTTGAAGGCTAGTAATTTTAATTTTAACTTTGATAATGACGCTATGCTTCAGCAGCCATGCATAGTGCCTGCATTGTATGCTTCCAGTAGTCTTCTCGGCAATATTTTTAATGTTTCATGTTTTTATCTGAATATTTGATTTTGGGGGGTTCAGTTTGGTGTTTTATTTTGAGGTTTTTTGTTTTTTTGTTTTTTACAGAACCTAATTAAATGTCTTAAGGCCATGGATACCTTGCAGAGCTAACTCTGTATCCATATACAGTTGGGTAACTGGCTGTAAATATTTTATATCTTTTCCTAAACCTAAACATGAATGTAACTGGTCAGACTGCATGATGGAGTCATCTGACCACTAAAGAAACTAGCATTTTCAGCGTGCATTTTGGATCGGAACTCATAGAATTCTCATACGTCCATTTTGCTATATCGCATTGGTGCATGGACCTTTTTTGTGGCAAATTACACTGCTTATACACATAGCATTTAAACTGAACCTTATTTCTTTTAGCGGCATATAAAACACGTCTCACTTCTGCAAGACCAAAACCATCTGATAAATCACAGACCAGACCTGGTAATAATTGTTTATTCACTTTGGTATGGGAAGGAGGTCCACTATTTATTTCTTTAATGATTTTCACCTGTTCTTAGAGGAATTTTAAGTATTGCTAGAGAAAAAGGGTGTGCTTCTTTCAATTAATCAGTCTTCAGGTAAAGCCTTTTCAATTTAGGAAAAAAAATTGTATGCCACCACAGCAACTCTTGCTTTTTCTTCTGTAATATGGAATTGTTGGCATCACTTAGAAGTCTCATTTTCTTCTCATTAAGCTTTTTCTTTTAAACTTCCTCACAGCTCTTAGTAAAACTACACTAGCACCAGCTAGAACAAAATCACCTGGCTTGCCAAAGTGGATTGTGCCAACAACAGGTAGAGCTGTTTTTTTGTGTGCTTTGTTTGTTTGTTTGTTTTTAAGATATTAGCAAAAACACACGAATGTTACTTCCTGAAATGATCTTAAGCCTTGCAAAATATTTAATTACGTATGATTATAGAAGCTAATTCTTTAGAGTACTGTATGTAATTGCTGTTACTAGTAATGCTATATTGTTCCTGACTGCTACCGTGAAATGGTACTATATGTGATAAGTGTAGTCTTAGAGGTAAAGTATAAATATGTCTACTGTTTGTTGATGTTTTCCATATGATAGGTCCAGAATAAATAACCAGGCAATAGGCCAGGTGATAATCCAGAATAAATAACCAGAGATGGTTGTATATCTAAATTGAATTAAAAATAGCCTGAACATGATATGCTCTTTTGTATTACATATAGAGGGGATGTCATCATTGGAGATATGTGTTCTCTGACCTTTCATATTCCTTCTGGGAAATGAAATGAGCCCATCTGACTGCAGGACATCAGGAACAGTTATAGTATTAAATGACTTAGGATGGCAGTAATCCTGGCTCAAGAAGTTTTGCTATTACTAGTGCTGGGCAATCTACTTCACAGAAAGTGACCTTTCTAATGTCCGATCACCAAATGCATGAATACACAATTATGTTAGACAGTATGTGAAGTTTTTTGTTCTACCATATAGCAATGTCTTTGGCAGTGGCATTTTTAGATTAAGAAGGTTTTTTTTTTAAAAAAAAAAAAACAACACACAAAACATTCTAGGTAAAATAGCAGTATAAACATGATAATAGGTGTTTAAATTGTTTTAAGTATAGTTTATTGTGCTTTATGCTATTTTAGGTGATTGCTAAGTATTATTTAAGCAATCTTTATTTTAAATGCTCCAGTTGGAGTACCTGCTAGTCATTATTTCCATGTCGTTACAGTAGGGCCAGTTGTCAGCAAGAAGTAGTGTTCCTTTATGGTAGATGATGTCAGAAATCATCACAAGGCTATTTATTATTTTGCTGTGTATGCTAGGTATATTCACAAGCAAATAGGTATCTTCATTTAGAGCTCTTGAAAATTATGCTTTTGCAATATTTTCCATTGCTCAGTTAAGCAAGTCTTTTTTCCTAAGTGAAATAAGTGTCCTGAAGATGTCTGTTACCTAGATTTTGCATCCTACTGAGTGAGCACTTTCAGTTAAACATGGTGTTCAAACTGCTTAGGAAGAGTTGGTATTTATTGTCTGTTACCTGTTTATTTGTACTACAAGTGCTGCTGGCACTTATTGATAACTTCCTATGAGAGTACATCTTTCTTCTCTGAATGCTAGAGAAATCATCAGTGATTTTTTTTTTTTTTTTTTTTACATTTATGGCATGATGAAGAGGACTAGAACTTTTAATGAATTCTTTTCATTCTGTGCTTTATTCCTCCCTTTATGATCAAAAAGTGAAATCCCAAGTCTTCTTGTAGAGTAAGTGCGTCACAATATTGTGGCAAATGTAGTGTCTGAGCATACAAGGATGTCTATGCTCACAAAAAAAACATTTTGTACAAGAGAGGGTTCAGGTAATCGATTAAAAGGAAATCTTCTATATTCCTCCTAAGCAATGTGCCATTATGTTTAGCAAACAATCTTGAAGTCTGCAGAAGAGACTTAAAAAAGAGAATTCCACTAACCTGGAACCCTAAATCCCCTAAATCTTACCAGCTGAGCAAAGGCAAAAAAAGCCTTTTTTTTTTTTTTTTTTTTTTTTCTTTTTCAGTAGATGATATCTTAGAGAAATTATCTTTTAAGATATTTGGATAATTTTTGAGGATAGAGAAGTTTATTTCTTCCATTAGGAAAACGATGTTATTTTCTGTGATTAACTGATCAGAATCCTTAACCAAGCTGTAAGGGACAACAAGTTTTCAAGCTTACATTTAAACATTACATCTTTTTTTTTTCTTTCTTTGAAGAAGAGTACATTCGATAGTCTATTGTTTTAAGACCACTTTGGATCTTACTTCCTTGTTGTGCGGGCAATGCTTATTGGATGCACACCAATTCTTCTTCCTGAGTGTACCCATTAGCATCAATGCAAAGATGTTCCACTCCATGCAGAGTGTGTTTGGCAGCTGTGAGGCCCTGATGATAAGCTCTGGAATTTGTTCTTCCCAGCAGCAGCACATGGGATTGCGGTTGATTTCCTGGCAGGCTTTTCAGTCTCCTGGCTAGCTGTATTGTTAGCTGTAATGCCAGGTGGTAAACTTGACTTTGGGAAACGGGCAGAGGTTTCAGCCACTTAACTAACATTCCTTTTAGTCTTCTACCATGTTCCCGGCCACATTCTGTATAATTTATTTTTAATGACATGGCTTTTCATACTTATTTTAGTTCATGTGATATATCTTAAGCATTATTTGGTTTAATCTTAACAATGTAAAAGTTGTTCATAGTCTATTAAACTTCTGGACAACCTTTACTCAAGTTTCAGCAATGTTTCATCTCCCTTGTGAGAGAGTTTGTTTTCACTATAACAGATATCAACTTCATGCTGTGCTTTGTTTGTATTTTTGAAAATGTGAGCATATAGCTAGGTTCTAGATGAACTCAAATATTAAAGTATTCCAGTTTGGTTTGTTTTTTTATCAATGGCACCTTTTCCCACTTCTTAAAATGATCCACACTTCTGATAGTATTCCTGCTATTCAAGGTGCAGTGGTTAGCTTTAAGGTGTTCCAGATCCCATTAATATTTCCAGGAAAAAAATGATGAAAGTAAAGAAAACATCAACACACATTTGTCTAACACGTCTATTCTCAGTTCTGTTAAAAGTCTGGATGAATGTGCTGAGTTGAAATGCTTATACGATGCTAGGTAATGTTACTTGCTTAAGGCAAATGCTATGATAAATGCAGCAAGTTGTATGACATTGCAGATACTTTGTGTGGAGATACAGGCGAACTTTTACGTGACTTTGAAGTGCATTGAAACATTAAAGAGGAGATTTTTGTTTTTCCTTTCACATAATTTGCACTACTATTTTACTAATGGCAGTAATACCATATAGAATATATACAGCATGTTGTTTGTTGATAGCCAATACAATTCAG